CAATCCCCATCACAATGGTCATAAGCCACAACAGGGAAATCAGTGGGAGAAACTGCTCAATGTCTTACATGTCTATACGCAAATGCTAGTATGAGGAATAAACAGAAAGAAATAGAAATAAATATTAGTACATAACCTACATTTTTACTTAATTGGCATCACACAGACTGGATGGGATAAATCTCCTGACTGGAATATTGGTATAGCGGTGTATAGCTTGTTTAGGAAGCACAGAGAGAAGGGGTTACATTATACATGAATATATACACTTGGTCTGAGGCCCAGAAGGAAGTGGGAGGCAGACCAGTTAGAGAGTCTCTAGTAAAGATAAAAGGGCTAAAAAAAGGTGGGGGGGGAGGATAATATGGCAGGGGTCTATTATAGACCACCAAATCAGGAAAAGGAGGTTGATGAGATATTGCTAGAAAAAATAACAGAAATACCCAAAATATACAATGTAGTAGTAATGGGGGACTTTAACTGCCAGTCATCTGTTGGAAACAATAAGGCAAAACACAGAATTTCCAATAAGTTCTTGGAATGTATTGGGGACAACTTTTTATTTCAGAAGATGGAGGAAGTAACCAGGGGGACAGCCATTTTAGACTTGATTCTGACCACCAGGGAGGAATCAGTAGCGAATCTGAAGGTGGAAGGCAATTTGGGTGAAAGTGATCTTGAAATGACAGATTTCATGATTCTAAGGAAAGGAAGGAGTGAGAGTAGCAGAATAGGGACAATGGACTTCCAAAAAGCAGACTTGAACAGACTCCGAGAACTGGTAGGTTAGGTTCCATGGGAAGAAAATCTAAGGAAAATAGGAGTTCAGGAGAGTTGGCAGTTTCTCAAGGCGGCAGTATTAAAGGCACAACTGCAAACGATCCTGAAGGAAAGAGGAAGAATAGTAAGAGGCCAGTACAGGTTCATCAGGAATGCTTTTAATGACCTGATCTGCAGGCTGAGGGATCTGCTATAGAGAAGCTCACACCAAATAGTTAAAATGAGTGGGGATGGGGACAGCAACTTGTCTTTCTTGACTTTACCAGGCGCCTGCCGCTGATCAGTTGAGTTGAGGATGTTTGGCTGGAGGGGGAGAGAGAGGCCTTAAAAATGGTGTGAGGGAGGCCAAAAATGAAGCAGCTTTCTTTGTAGTAGCTGTTTGTAACCCTTTTCTCTTTAATATCTGTTTCTTTATTTGCTGCTGTTTGTCTTGGGCCAAAAGATGCTTGTCCCTAAAGTAGGTGCATTATGGGAGATGGCATGGCATCTGGTCATAATTTATCTTCTGGTGTGCAAGGTATATGGGGATTGGAGCTTCTGGCAGTTCTGACTCACCTAGAGGGGGTGTCTGTGGTCCCTGAGCGCCGGACAGCACCTGGATGGCTGTGCTGCAGAAAACAGCTACATCCTAAATGTGTATCAAAGTCCATCTCGTGCTTCGCTCTCTCTGGAGCCATTTATGCCTTTACACAGGCCTTGCACTCTCTGGCCTCCACAGCACACTGCTGCTTATGAGGTATAAATTAGCCCCTTCTTTTATTTATTTTGCCAAATAGAAAATGTATACAACTAATGTGAAATACAATCTTATTTCTCTAATCAATCAGTTCCCAAGTGCAGCTCTCTCCAGCATGTGTTGCTGCCTCGTTTCATGAGTAGCCCTTTTGCCTGACTTGTGTGTAGCAACTCCCACAGTGCTGACCTTTTCCCAATTCCCTCTCTATAAAGCTGATCCTTCTGTCCTCCTTATCAGATATGGGACCAAATCCTACTCTCCTTACTTCTGCAAGCAGCCCATTGACTTCACTAGACTACTCACATGAGTAAGACAAGCAGGGTTAATAGATCTGGGTGCACTCTGTTTCCAGCAATGTGCTTCCCATCAGGAAAACCCAACTTTCTGTTGCCGAGAACCATTTTACCTCTAGTTCTAAACCGATTTCATGCTGAAAGGAATAGTCAGGCAGTGTGTTCTAACTGATAAATGCACTAATTGCTCCCATTTCAGAATTGCATAAATCTTTCCTACAGCTCGGCATCATGGTCAGATGGTGATTCATCATTATCAGAGCCTGGTTCAAAAGACAAAGATTCCAGCTGGCATTTTCAAAGGGAGCCTATGCATGTTGGCTCCCAACTCCTATTGGAATTCAATGGAATTTGGCCACCTAACTCATTTAGGCTCTTTTGCAAATCCAAGCCTGCCTTCCGTATCAAGGTTTTATGCTTGCCTGAGCAGTCCACGAACTGTGCACAAGCATAAGCTTGCACAGCTGAAGTCTTGCCTTTGGATCTGCCCTAGACTGCTCTTTAATCTAAAGTTTTTTTGCTCTAGAATATGAAGACTAGCTCCAAGACACCATTTAATGTAGCAAAAGCACTTACAGATTAATGACATTTTACAGCTCTTTAGTAGAGGAATTTTTTGCTAATCTTTTATTGAAAAAGCTGTTCTTTGTAACACCGTTTAGTCTAGTGCTTGAAATTGAGGGTTATCACTTTTTATAAGCACCAGTATTGCATCTTATGCACTGAGACAAATACTCTTCTTTATTGTGGTGCGATCACATGGGCTTTTCACCAAGTCAGAGCAAAATATCATGGTTCTGTGTGGTGGAAGCCCAAATAGTGAGGTAATTTCAATAAAATACAATACAGCTCCATTCCAAGTCACTCCCTTCATGTAAACTACATTCCAAGATGCTTCAGAGTTAAATATAATCACCTAAAATAAGGAAGAAAGGGGAAAGGAAGGTAGAAACGTTGTCTTTGGTGTTGAAACAGGACAAAGAGCGGATGAGATAGAGGGGCTTTGATCAATCCCAAGCCATAACTGATTCACGTGATGAAATGTACACCTGTGCAAATGGCCTGCAGGAAACCTATGCATTATTTCGAGGACTCGGGTGTGACTTAAGTGATGCATCATTCTCTCTCTGCTGTACCTGAGTGAATTTCAGCCACAAGGAATGTAAAGCCGCTTCCCAGCTGTTAACCTGGTTCCACATCCCCAATTGACAGTAATCCATCCTTTATTCAGCAGCAAACTATTTCTCTTGATGGGTCACAACCATATCCTCCCATGGTCTGCACTATTTTAAAGGCAAGGTGCCATTTCCCTTACAGACTGACCCGTTTGAAAGTGGGGTTAAAACATTAAACCTCTGCTTTTGGGTCAAAACATGTGCCCTAAATTTAATTATTCTTTCCCCCCCAGCTCTACATACGTGTGTACATATGCACACTCAGTTTAACCATTTTAAAGCACTGTGTATGATTACAGTCTTGGAATCTACTGTAAGGGTTCTAAAAATTCCAATCTAGATTGGAATTTCTTGACTGGATCAGTATGATCAGTTTCATTCCATGATTAATGCACTTCACAGAGAATTTTCCATGTGTTTTGTTTTTTTTTTTATAGGCATCCCAAATGTTATGGGTAAGGCTACGATTAAGTCATGGAATCCGTGACTTCGCTTGACCTCCGTGGCATTTTCTGCCCTGGGGCTGGAGCTTCCAGACCCCGCCTTGGTGGGGGGGACCCCGCCGCTGCCCAGCCGCAGCGGTGGGGGATCCGGGAGCCCCAGCAGCAGTGGGTGCTGAACCCACCTACGCCTTTTGTCAGGGATATTTTTAGTGAAAGTCAGGGAAAGGTCATGGGCTTCCAAGAATTTCTGTTTATTGCCTGTGACCTGTCCATGATTTACTAAAAATATCCGTGACACAAACTTAGCCTTAGTTATGGGTGATATTCGGGGTGAGACACCAGCTTATCAAAGTGGAGCTTGATACTCTGAACGGTGGTTTCCCTGCTGCTAAGTTACCCTGAGAAAGCCAAGTCCTGAGGTTGCGTCTACACTTCAAGCTGAGGGTGTCATTCCCAGCACAGGAGACGCGCCTGCACTAGCTGGGATGGAGCTAGTGTGCTAAAAATACAACTTAGCTGGTGTGGCAGAAGGGGCTCACTGCTCTGAGTGTATACTTAGCATCTTGGGTAGTATGTCCCCTCCTATTGCTCGTCCCATCACAGCTACACTGGTTTTCCTATGCTAACTGGATCAGAGCTAACATAAGTACGTCTACTTGAGATGGGACTCACACCCCACCTCGGTGTAGACATCTGACACCTGTGCTGATGTAACTAAACGGCTTTCACTACATCAGTGCAAACTCCTAATGTAGAGACACTATACCAGGTTAGCTTAATTCAATAAATTACCAAATTAAACAGGTTTAAATGGGTTTTTTAATCCATTTAAGGGGTTCTATAATGGGAGTTTGTACAGATGTAATAAAATCCGTTTAGACTGGTGGAACAAGCCCACTCCAGGCCAACCCTTGCTTGCTTTAACCCACTCCCACTTTTGTCTGTGTCAGGATTGGAGCCCCAATGTGCTAGGCCCCATACCAGCAGGGTTTCCCCACTTCTCTCACATGTGAGTCTCTGGTAGTCTCCCTCCCAGCCCCACTTCCACTGTCCCTTCCTATGTCACTCCCTTGTCTCCTAAGCAGTTCTTGTTGTGGCCACTCTTAAGTCACTTCGACCCTACTGTTCTTTGGGATCTTACTGCCACCAGGTCCATGCTGCCCTCCTGTCTTAAAGAGGGGGTGTGGGAGTGGCTCACCTGGACGCTGGCAGGCTCCCTAGGGTCTTGACATCCCCCCGGGACATGCATCAACTTGGTTCTTCCATTGGCCTGGTGGCTGACCTCGCCAAAGGGGGACAGGAAGGAGCTGTTAGACACAGTCCATGAGCCTAGTGGGGGGTGAGTTGAAGGGACAGTGTTAGGCAGTATAGAACCAAAGGAGAAGCTATGAGTGAGTGGTGGTCTTCAAAGGACTCCAGTAAAAGCAGTTCCTGATTGTATTTCCTCAGTTCCCTTTACTGTTTGCTGCCTAAACCCAGCAGCACTTTGCTAGTGCCTGAGGCTGACACACATTTGCATTGCATTCAGCTTGCACAATGGACATAAACAGCAGAAGTAGTGAAAAGCAAGTTCGATTTTACAAGTCCTGCCATTTTTATTGTTTAATGTAGTGTTAGTAACATACCGAAGGAAGCTTGCTGGGCTGGTTTTCAAAACCTGAAGCAGATGCCAGTTGAGGTGCTCAGGTTCTCTGAAAATGGGGCCACAGAGGTTTTAGGTTTAAATGATTTTTTTTTAACCTGATTGTCCTTTTTATACTCTCCAGAGGCTGCTCTGTTCTATCTGCTTGAGACAGACCAGCAGTTAGAAAATAGGCAATAGACACCAAGCAGAGAATAACACCAGCTCGCTTCAGAAACTTCTCTGGCTTTCTTTTGTATGACATCTAAGCAACCATCAACACAACCCAGTGCTAGATCTTGGCATGCGCCTCCACATCCAGTTTACAACCCTGGAGACAGGCAGACTTAGAGGTGCTGAATGTGGAGTCCAATCCCACTCCGCTCACTAAACAAGCCCCACCTGGATACTTACGTATAGTGTGAAAATGGTTGGTCTGTGTGTGGATCCCTGAGACTCAATAAAACCCTTGGTACTATATTAACTTCAGATGTTTGCCTTGGTCTCGTGGAAGTCAGCTTGCATCTCTTGCTACTGTTAGAACACACCTCTCACCGTATTCTTCATTCCTTACCAAGAGTCATGCCTGGCTTCAAACGTGTGGAGAAAGGCTTTGTTGGTGCATTCAGTCCATTTTCAGAGACCCAGGTGGCTTTTAGTAAAACAAAGCCATGTTGAAAGTCTAATTTTGGATGATGTTTTGGACAAGTTTGTTGTCTTTCACCATGTGTGTGTTTTTTAATTTACTCTTTGCCGTTCATTTTGCTTGGAGAGGGAAAGTGGCAGGGCCAGTTTCTGATTCTTGTGCACATCATGCACCTTGTGGGGGACGGGGTTAGGGCTCCAGCACTTCAGGAGAACACCAGAAAGAAGCTGGCTTCATGGGAAACTTATGTTCAAACTTGTGTGCCTGACGTTACGCACCTTAAATCAATATTTAGGCACCTAAGGAAAATGGCCTCCTTTCGGAAGTTGCTGAACATCTCTGAACTCCTCTTAGTTTCTGTGGGAGTTGTGGATGCTCAACAGCTCTGGAAACTGAGCCAAACTTAAGCACCTAAATATGGATTTTAGGTAGATTCACTAGCTTAAAAACTTTGAGGCACACGCAGATATATATAAAATTCAATAGGTTTTGTAAATTCCTCCCTCCCACATCCCTCTTAAAACAAAAGCTAAACTTTAGAATCTCAGCTGCCTGGCAAAGTGTCGTACACTCTGCTATTGATGTGTGTACCTTCAAACTAACAGATTCTCTTTACTTACCATAGCTACGTTCTTCCAAGCCAAAAATTGGTCTCCTTTCCTAAAGCTGCCTCCCTCAGTGCATTATCCTTACACAAGGACCTAGGGCCTCCCTTTCAGAAAAACTGGCTCCCACATTGCTTAGGAGCGGTTCTCAACCTGAGGTCCTTAGACTACCATGAGGGGGTAGAGCCCTTCCAGGTAGCCTGCAGGGCAAAATATTGATCAAGACAAATCATGGGGGCTGGGATCTTGGTCTGTTATGAAAGGCTCATCAGCCTGATCAAAGTAGGAGAGTTACAGCCTTGGGGGGGTGTTAATAGATGTGTCTTATACTGGATGGCTGGATCTATTTTTTTCATGTGGGAATTTGTGATAATTACACAGGTAAGGCGATTTTTATTTTGGTATAAATTTGTATCTTGATGCTGACATTTTACAAGCATATGGACTGCTTTAAACTCAAACTGAATGAGCAACCCAGAAAGCTTTGACAAATAAAAAGGACTTTCTGGCGCTGCTACAGATAACAGCCCTAGTGTGTCTTAAGTGAAGAAATGAGATATTCTAAAGACTGGGAAAATGGAGGCCAGGAGAATGTGCCAGTTCTACCCCTGCCAGCCCTCAGGCCATGTGCGCAGCTGCTGAATGCAAGCCTTTCTCTGTCCCAGGCAGCTCTGCCAGTCTTCTAGCTGCGTTTCCCCCTCCTTTTCAGCTAGGGCCAAAACAAGACCCCTTCTGTCAAGGCAGTTCCCTAGCTCCTTCCTCTGCAAAACCCTCCTTATAATTCTGCCTCCATCATATTAGGGGGCAGGGTTTACATTGAATCCAATGGATACTGTGCCCACTCCATTACAAGTGGGCTGCAGCTATGGAAACTGTGTGAGAGGAAGGAGCCAGTCTACTTCTGCATCCCAGCTTGAAGGAAAGGACAGCTGGACCCTGACTAGTTATGTGATAAGAAATCATGAGGTAAGCTAAGCACGATTTTCTTTTGTAAGTGTGAAAAACTGCCATTAGAAAAAATTGTCTGTGGTATCCAAGACAACTAACAATGTCATCAAGTTCTTTCTCTCCTCAGAAATACAAGCGTGCATTAGTTTTACTAAACCACACACCCCATATTCCTCTTGATAAGTGGACAGGCACGTTCATATACTGTCTTTTAATTGCAATAGAAATAATTGCCCAGCTATCAAACTGATCACCAGATAAAGCTTTTCTGTGCGGTTCAGAAATACATGCATATGGCACGTTTACTGACCTCGTGTGATGGTTTTCCAGCCAAGACTGGGACTGATTTCCAGTCTCTGCAGAACTACCGTACATTTCATCAATGTTTTTTGTGTGAACACTTTATACGTAAGGTATTTATTCCCAAAACTGCCAGCATATCACAGAAACAGATCCCCAGTTGACAATTCTCCTGAAAGTACATTATTATAAGGTCCCTTTCTAACCAAGAGATAACACATCACTTCACTTCATTAGTAAGCACTACAGCGCATCAATCGAGGTTACCGGACTCCCTCCCCTCCAACTGTGCTGCATAGTGAAAGTTAGAATTGACACCATGGTACAGCAAATGGAAAAACAAGAAAAGCTGGTACCATGCACTGTCCTGCAGCTGAGAAAGGCACCTATGGGATAGGCCCCAAACCAGGAAAAACAGCCCTCTGCAGGACAGCCCTTACACATCGGCTTAAAGTCAGTGGGACTTAAGCACATTCTTAAGTTCTCTCCTCAATAAGGATGGATTTAAGTACACCTCTACCCCGTTATAACACAAATTTGGATATAACGCGGTAAAGCAGTGCTCCGGGGGTGGTGGGGCTGTGCTCTCCGGTGGATCAAAGCAAGTTCGATATAACGTGGTTTCACCTATAACGTGGTAAGATTTTTTGGCTCCCGAGGACAGCGTTATATCAGGGTAGAGGTGTATATGCTTAAGGCTGAAAAGTATTTAGGGGTCTCACTCCCATTGATTTCAAAGAGAGTTAGGTGCCTAAATTAACAATCATAGTTTCAGCTTTTCAGCTGTGCATCTGGGCCTATAACTTCCTGGATCAAAAGGCCTTTCCTAATCCTCTTTAAGAGATTCACTTCCTACTTGTGCTGGCCAGTAAGTACTTATTTTTAAAGTTACCTGTGATCAGAAAATAAAATGTTTCAAGTGCTAAAATGCTGTCCAGGCTGTGTTGAATCAAGCAATACAGTGATCCTCTCCAAAAGTGTAAATGCTTATTCAAAAACTTTGAATGATAAATTGAATGTCACCTAATGGCAGAAAGTTGTTTGCTTGTGTTTTGCTGCAATGTCCTGAAGAGCTTTTATTTCAAAGGCTTTGTGTCTGAAGGGTATTTTTTCCCCCAGTGTCTGAAAAGGCCCAGCTCCTTCTCATATTTGACTGCATTCAATACACAAAAGGCCTGAATCTCTATAAACTAGTCCTGTATGTCAGCAATTTCTTCCAGATCAAAGAACACAATGAGAGACACATGGGGCAGAAGTATGCATTTGCCATTGCTCTGTTCATCAGCAGAGGTCTGAAATGGAGGATCTGGACCATCAAGGTGAGAAGATGATCAGCTGTTGTCAGATGATTTTCAGCTTCCATTGACTGTAAATCAATTTATAACATGAAACTTTTTATCCTCACCTTCAAGGCCCTTCACAGCTCTGACCCTTCCTACATACCTGCAGGTCTCTGATCATGTTGCCCCCTCACCCATCCTCTGGTCTGCTGGCAAAGCCCGCTTCCAATTTTGTCTCCTCTCCTTCTCCCATTCTGCATGGAGCCCCCTCCCTGAATTAATCCATAATGCCACTGCCCTCTTCTCCTTCAAGACCCACCTCCGCTGTAACACCTCCAAGGAGCCAGCCGATGGTGGTTTGGTTCGTGCATCAGTTGGGGAGAGCTGATTTTCTTTACTTTAGCTAGTGCACAATTTGGTGGTTCTTGCTGGCTCTCAGTAATCCCAGACCTACGTAGCAATGTTGTTTTTTTATCTTCACAACGCTTGTCCTCATCTCCCACCCTACCCTGCTCCTTTTATGTTCACTTATCATGTTAAGTCTCAAATTAGATGGTAAGCTCTTTGGGGCTGTCTTTTACTGTGTGTTTGTATAGCACAATAGTCCTAACTGGGGGGTCTTTAAGCTCTACTGCAATACTAATAAATAATAATAAATTAAATCTAGTTTTGTGAATTACTTGGAATCAGGTTAAGGGAAAAAATCCTACTGCATATAGTGTGTGCAGATGTGGAATTCTGGCAAATGTCTGCAATAGGGTGGCCTTGTCTCCTAATAGTTTACACGAGATGCGCTAAATCAGCGTGTTGGGTTGCAACCACGCAAGGTTCTTCTGAGCTTGGTTCATCACCTACTTCTGCCATGCTTAGCCTGCTTTATCAGAAGGCTGCTGTCCGTCATTGCTTCAGTTTTTTTCCTCTTCCATTGGAAAGGCTTCTTCACCTGCTTCTTCTGGGTGCAGGAAAGCCGTGGGCTGTGAAGCAGATTCCACATTAGCCAGATTTCGGCTACTTTTAGACTGTGGACTACCATGAGATCTTTGTAAAAGCAGGGGTCAAACGTCTGCAGGTGCGGGGCAGCTGAGGGTTTCACGATGCCAAACGTCTTGAATCCTTCATGCAAAACAGGTTTGAGATTGATTCTCTGCAAGCACATGCCCAAAAAGACATCGTCAATGGGGAAGAGCTCCACCTCTTTGCAAGCCTGGAAGAGCTTTTTCATGGTGCTGCTGGACAATAAGAAGCCCCCTCCCCCTGCATAGAGTGGGTATGTGCCTAGCCCGTACATCGTTTCTGGGATGTAGTATTTACTTTTCTGCACCCGGATTGGGTGAGCATTGTAGATGATGTCCCCAACAAAGAGGTCTTCTGCAGGGTCATGTCTCTCGAGGAAGTCAATGATGTTCTCCACATTGACAAAAACATCAGCATCCCCTTTAAAAATGAACTTCACACTAGAACAAAACTCGTCGGCCCAGTTCAGGAAGTGGATCTCTTTCAGGGTCAGATTGAAGAAAGTATCCAGAAAGTCCCAGAGTAAAATGTCCTGATACATCAGACTCTCCTGGTGGACAAGAATCTCCCATGTTGCAAGTGCTGTCTTATTCTTTGGTATTCCCAGGAGGAAAACTCTTTGAACCTGCACCCCGTTCACCAAACCCTCCCTACCCCAGGTCTTACGGACGATCTCGCGTCTGTCAAAGTCCTCAACCACCGATTTGATGGCTATAAGCAGGAAGGGACCTCCGGGTGTTTTCAGGCATTTCTTGGGCTGGTTAATGAGAAGATCAAAGTTCCGATTGTCCTTGTTTAGAAGGTAGCGCTTGAAGTCGAAGGCAGAATGAGTCAGAGGTGGTGAAGTGGTAGTTTGGGTCTTTTTACTTGCCACCTCTGCATCTTTAGCAATAGAAATGATTCTGGGTCGGCCAAATGTCACCTCCGCTTGAAGATGCCACTTGGGGGCTTCGGGGCCTGGGAAGATCCTCTGCGTTGGTGAAGGTTTCTTGTGCATTTGCTCCCTGTTTCCTGTTGGGGAAGTACGCTCCAACTGGGAATAGAGTAAAGAGCAAAGCACTACCACCAGGAAAAGGGTGCAGATCGCATCCCCTTTGAGCCGAACTCTCATTGTCTCCACACTTCTTGTAAGGAGTGTTAAAAGCTGTGCTTGGTGAGCTGTTCAAAACCCATGTCCATCTGCAAATAAACACATTGTACATTAGTGCAGAGCATTTAACATCTTCAAGGAACTCTGGTAAAAAATAATTGAATAATCACAAGACACCCAGCAGGGAGGTATTAATATTCTTGTTTCACCAATGGCAATGCGGGGACCCATTAAGTGCTTTACCAAGAGCTAGACAGCAAACCAGTAACTGAGCTAGGAGTTGAACTCAGGAGGGCCTGACTTCCAGTCATTTGCTCTGACCTCTAGACCATGTTGCTGTTCAAGTTACCTATGAGAAACCCAACTTTTTCTTAAAACCTCTCCGCTGATACGTGATTGATTCACCCCCTCTCCAAAACCACAAAAGATCCCACCATTGTGTCCTAGAAGAACATAGAGCAAAACTATGATCAAAACCATTCTTCTTGACTCATATAAATAAAACCCTTGATAAGAACTAAAGAAGCCATTTAATATTAAGTCTCCTTCAAGTCATTCAAAAGCAAAGACACAAATCTGGCAGCTGAAGGCAGCTTGAGGGCTTCAGCCCTGGGTGATAGGGTTCAGATTTTGGCTTCGGCCCCAGTCCCAGCAAGTCTAACGCCAGCCCTGGCGACCCCATTAAAACGGAGTCGTGACCCACTCTGGGGTCCCGACCCACAGTTTGAGAACCGCTGTTCTATTCAGTTAGATTAGTAACTAAACTGCAAGAAGAAAAATAAGAGTTACAAGGATGCAGAAAGCAATATCTAAATATAGTCCAGGGAAAGAATTGGTCACGTGTCTATAGCTGGAACAGACACAGATCCTTTTTCACCACAGTACACGTAGCCACATTGTTTCCCACAGCGGCTAAATAACTAAGTGGAACAGAAGAAATTGACGACGAGAGTTGTTCCAACTATTCTTAGGAGCAATTGGTTCCCTTTCTCCCCAGAGAAGGGTGTATCTATTTATTTAAGCCCTACACACCCAGGGGGAAGTGGTGATCAGAATCTGAGAACTATCTACACCAGTGGGATTTTTTTAAAAAGATCATTATGATTGATACACATTCTCACACTCACACACACACAATATTAAAATATCTGATTACAAATCCCATAGTTGCCATAATTTACATTCATAGATTTTTAAGGCCAGAAGGTACCATTATGAATGATCGTCTAGTCTGACCTTCTGCTTAACCAAAAATTGATGCCTGTGGGATCCCTCTAGAAACACACCTGCTCAATGATGATTCCCCATTTAACATTATATTTTGAGACCTCTCAGTTAGCCAGTTCTTAGTCCATTTAGTGTGTGCCATGTTAATTTTGTCTCATTCTAGTTCCTTAATCAGAATGTTGTGCATACCAAGTCAAATGTCTTACAGAAGTCTATTACATCAACATTATTATCTTTATCAACCAAACTTGTAAGCTGAGCAAAAATAAACGTCAATTTCGTTTGACAAGATTTATTTTCCATACACCCAAGTTGATTGGCATTAATTATATTACCCTCTTTTCATCCTTTACTAATCAAATCCTGGATCAGCCATTCCATTATTTTGCCCGGGATTGATGTCAGGCTGACAAGTCATCCCATCTACTCTTTTTAAATATTGTCACAAAATTAGCTTTTTTCCAGTCCTCTGGAACTTCAAAAGTGTTCCAGAGTTATTAAAAATCCACATTAACTGTCCATCGTGCTCCTCAGCCTGCTCTCTTAAAACTCTTTGATGCAAGTTATCCAAACCTACTCATTTAAAAATGTCACTTTAGGAGCTGGTGTTTAAAATCCTCCTTAGTTACAGTTGGAATTGAGATTATTCAATCATCATCATCCTATATATATATGTACATCCTCTGGCTTTTTCCCAAATACAGACCAGAAATATTTATTGACCACGTCTGTCATATCTCTATTGTGGTTGATTAGTCTACTATTTCCATCTAGTAATGGACAACTACTATTGTTATGGTTCCTTTTGTTCCTGATATACTTAAAAACTCCATAGCTTTGCTGGCCATAGAGGTCGCCTTGTGTCCTTTTGCTTCCCTTATCAATTTTCTACGGATTCTAGCTTCTATTTCTATTCACTGCTATCAGCGTCCCCTTTTTTATTGTCATACATTGTTTTTTTAATTGCTGATTTAACTTTCCCTCCTAGTCAGGCTGTTTGTTGGTTTGTTTTTAAACAAGTATAGCCTTCCTTCTTGGTTGGGGCTTTTTGGAAATTT